TGGCATTTACGAGGCAACCTTCACACATTATTATCACGTCGCAAATGGGAATCACGTGGCCATAAGCATGTTTGTTCCGACGTGGGAACCACATGGGTACCTTCCCACGCGTTGAACATGTCGCAAATCTCCCTATATATTAATTGGCCAGATTTTCCTTCAGCATCCCTTTTCATCTTCATTTATTTCTTCGTTTCTTCTTCACAACTCCATTTCTCTCTTCTTCACCATTGCTGCCTCCCTCACAACTCCATTTCTAACTAAAATTTCTCAAAAAATTTAAGTTGATTGGTATGTATCTTGATTTTGTGAATGTTTTACCGTTTATTTTATGTTTATGTTATTACTAATTGTTGATTTTTTTTTCAGATCTAAGATTTAAGAAGTTCAATTGTAAGCTTTGATAGAGCTAGTTAGCACATTAAGGTATTTATGCATTTCAATTTGTTTATTTTTGAGATTTTTGTGATATATTATTTTGTTGTGTTGTTGTTGATATATTATTTTGTTAAATATGTATTTTGTAGTAGAATATATATTTTTAGTAGAATATATATTTTTAGATAGAGTTAATAAAAATATGTATTTTGATAGAGTTAATAAAAATAATTTTGTAGAGTTAATAAAAATAATTTTGATAGTTAAATATTTATTTTTAATTTTGTAGAGTTAATAAAAATAAATTTGTTAGAGAATATGTATTTTGATAGAGTTAATAAAAATAAATTTGTTAGAGAATATGTATTTTGATAGAGTTAATAAAAATAATTTTAGTTAAAGATATTAGTTAACAAATTAATTAGTTAAAGATTAAATATGTAGCAGATTAAATTAGTTAGCAAATTAATTAGTTAAAGATATTTTTGATTTTAGTTAGCAGATTAAAAATACATGGGAAATATTAGTTAAAGATATTTTTAATTTTAGTTAGCAAATTAATTAGTTAAAGATATTTTTAATTTTAAATTTAATATTTATTTTAATTTTATAGTTGTTTTCAGTTAATATTATTTATTTTTTATTATTATTAAATTTTATAGTGAAGTGCATCTCATGTCACTAATTAGTGACGTGAGAATCACATGGGAAATATATTTATTCAGTGTGAGTTCCCACGTGAAAACAAGACCACAAATTAGTGATGTAGGAGTCACATGGGAAAATAAACTTTGTGACGTGTTTTCCACGTGGGAAAAAGTTCCCACCATTGCATTTCCGGCGTGTTTCTCCCACGTCGCAAATAGTGGTTAGTGAAGTGATTTTAAACTTAGTGACGTGAGAATCACTTGAGAAAATGCAATATATTCTCCACGCACTCCTCGCACTATTATTAGTATTATTATTTAATATTAGTATTATTAATCCAACTCACTATTATTATTATTATTATTATTATTATTATTATTATTATTATTATTATTATTATTTTTATTTTTATTATTCTTATTATTATTATTATTATTATTATTATTATTATTATTATTATTATTCTTATTATTATTATTATTATTATTATTATTTTATTTTATTTTACTTTTTTTTGCATGCCTTCCACATGCTAGTTATCATGATTAATGGTAGTGCACGTCTCCACAGTGGACAACCTTTGTATCGACAATTCCATGAAGATGAATAGACCCATTTGTGAAATTTGGCTTTCTAAATTTGTGCTTTGATGAAAAAGTTAAAGACTTTAACATCAAACATAAAACATACTCACACATTCCAAAGTAATGAAAATGTTTTACCTAAGAAAATTATTTATGGTTAAATTTTTATTTAGGTGAATTTTATATTTATAATTTACAATATAATAATTGTTAATAAATTTTAATATTTGCATGCCTTCCACATGCTAGTTTCGATTGTCAATTTACCATGGCACAATGGGACAACCTTTGTATAGACAACTCCAAAATTCATGAAAAAGACTCATTTTTATAAAATTTCACATTTTAAAATTCTTCATTGGATAATACTGACATTATTAACTTTTCACATCATTTATGAGACCTTTTGTGTTATATACTTCGTGGTTACCTTAATTTCTCAAAATAAATAAAACCTTATTTTCTCATCCATAGTTTTCCATTTTTTCAAGAGAAAAAAAAAAGCCCCAACCTTTGATTCATATATAATTGCAAAACACCACTCAATTCTTGTTCATCACTTAATTACACCATCTAGGTCTTTTCCATTTTTACTCAATTCCTTGATTAATGTTATCACTTAGCTCTGACGTTTAGTTTAATTTAGACTTAGTTAATGGTTGTTAGAAATTGGTTAAGTTGGTTGATGTTATTGAGATTTTTTATCACATAGAGGACCTAAGCCAAAAAGAAAACATAACTATCCACAATTACTATTAGCTAATCCAATATCAATGCTAATCAGCTCCATAATAAAATTTGGAAAATTTATCTCGAAATCTTTATCGAGCTCATAATTCATCTCAACTTTAACTAGTCTATCTGCACACGAATATGCCTCCCTATAAGCATGATTAATCTTCACTTCCTCTATCAAACTTAATTGAAATCAAATTTGTCGGATGAGAGAGAAACCTTCCACCTCTTTAGAACATCTCTTGATGGTCCCTATAGAAACCGAGTCCACACAAATCTCTATCTTTTGCCAACCTCCTTTATTAATAATCTTAAAACCTTCCAAAACTCCCCACAATTCCGCACAAAACGCGCCACACCTCTCCACATTTTTGTAAAAACCTTCAATGCACTCACCTTTGATGTTACGAATAATTCCCCCACATCCAGCTCATCCACTATCTTTACTAACACCATTTGTATTCAGCTTAATCCATTCGGCATCAGGGGCTTCCCACACAACTTGAGTTTTGATAGTCTCCCCTTGTCTCACCACTTTCCTTGTGAGTTGACTCTTATTGTATTCCTCGATTCTATCCTGAACCGATCTGCTCTGAAAATAAGCTCACAAAATTATCATCATATAAATCTTTGTTACGCTACTCCCACATGCAATGACACCCAACAACCCAGAACCTGCTTTAGTTCTCATTGTGATTCAAATTTAAAATTATCCAATTTTTGATGTCTATAGTGAAAAAATTCAGCCTGATACTCTATGGTATGATATTATCCCATAGCTGACGAGCCCTTTGACAATTCTAAAAAGCATGAAACGTATCTTCACATACATTACCACAAAGACCACAATCCACACTACCTAGACCTTTCCTACTTTTATGATAATTTGTTAACAATCAATCATGACCAAGAAGCCAAGCAAATGTCTTGACCCTTTCCTACTTTCATATATAGAGTTGAAGAAATTGATAAACATTTGGATAGAAAATAAGATTTGTTCTTGAGAACTTGAGTGACTATTTTCTTGTAACTCAGGTATAACATTTCGTAGCAACTTTTGAAAATATAGTGAATCGAAGAGCTTTTCTCTCTCATAGAGTAAATTGTTTAATCAGATTGGATAAATAAGTTATTGTAATTATTTTTGTCTTTTATCTTTTTCTATCAAATTAAGTTAATATCTTATTACATACATAGTTGTTTTTCCAGAAGTCTATTTATTTTAATTTTTATTGTTTTTTTGTCCCAACACATTAAAATTTAGTGTGATTAAACCTTTTTGTTTCATAATAAATTTTAATAAAAATGAAGGATGCAAATGTTGGAAAGAATAAAGTGAAACAAATTTATAAATTGAAAGAAATAACGCCACAAATGAAAGATTAAAAAGTCAAATGAGAATACTCCGTATGATAAAGATTTCTTCTATGTTTGATTTAGTTTTTGGAAGAGGTAAAAACAATTTTAGAGGTGTAGAATTGATTCTGAAATGATTTTGAAGTGTTTGATTATTTTAAAATAGAATTGAGTCTACTTTGAAGCTACAATTTGTAACTTTTGAATTTAAATGTGGTTTTTACACTAAAATTTATTACTCAACTAATATTTACATAAATATATCTAAATATCAATCATTTTACATTCGACTCGCTTTTAATCATAATTAGTTCTACAAAATCAATTCACTCATGATCAACTCTCCTTCACCATATAATCAAATATATGGATAAAAAAAAGAGATTCCATTCCAAAATCTCAAAAAGAGTGATGCTCTCACAATCAAATTAAACACACATTCTCTCCAATATTTTTTTAAATAATTTTTTTTAAGTTTATTGAGTCACTAACATATTAGATCTTTATATATACAAAATACATTAATTAATTATTTAATAAATTCATTTTTTTTTTAAAATTTTAATAATAACATAAAATAATGGAATTAACAATCATTCTAAGGTCATTATTTGAGTTTTGTCTTTGTTTTCCTCCTTATTAGGTACTCATTGGTCCTCACATTAGGCAAAAAGATTCATTCATGATAGTGGCTTTTTTTACATTGTTTTCTTTCATACATATATCACCCTAACTAGTGAATGTAAATCAATTTTAAACTAACATAAAACATCAAACATACTCCATTAAAACACTTTGTTAATAGCATTGCACATATATTGTTAAAATCTATTATTTTATTTTGAAAATAGTGTAAAATTTTCAAAGCAAGTTGATCTAGGTGAATTTTATATTTATTATATAATAATATAAAAAATTATAATATTTGCATGTCTTCCACATGCTAGTTTCCATTGTCAATTTTCCACTGCACAATGGGACAACCTTTGTTTAGACAACTCCAAAATCATGAAAAAGACTCATTTTATAATTTTTCATCTTCATTGGATAATAACATTATTAACTTTTCACACCATTTATGAGACCCTTTTTGTGTCACATATTTTGTGGTTACCTTAATTTCTCAAAATAAATAAAACTCTTATTTTCTCTTCCATAGTGAAAAAACTCCCCAACCTTTGATTCATACAAACACCATTTCCTTCAATTGGTCCAACCCAATTGCAAAAATCACTCAATTCTTGCTTTTTCACTCAATTTCACCATCTGGGTCTTCCCCATTTTTGAATCAATTTCTTGATGATGCTATCTCTAGGTTCTGATGCAACTGTGTTACCTTTTCATGCTAAGAATCTCAAATTCACTCCAAAGTTAAGTACTTTGAATGGTGATTCAACATTTAGCAAGGGTTTGGGTGTTGGTAGATTGAACTATGGAAGTGTTAGGTTGAATCATAAGCAGCATGTGAGAGCTGTTGGTAAGAGTTTTGGTGCAGATGAGAATGGAGATAGGTCAGAGGATGATGTTGTTAATGCTACAATTGAAAAGAGCAAAAAGGTTCTTGCTTTGCAAAGGGAACTTATTCAACAGGTATGTTGTGAAAATTTTGATATTGTAAAAGGGTTGTGGTTTTCATCTTTAGGTTTAAAGAATTTTAGGTTGAGAGAGACCCTTTAAGCTGTTAAGTTGATTGATTCTGTTTCTCTTTTGTTTTTTTGATAATTTTAACTTTTTGGTCATTTGTTGAAATTGGAACAAATTAGGACTTTATTAGAGAGATAATGTTTGGTTGCATGTTTGTAGCACTCCGAATTGATTCTGAATGTGTAGAATTGATTCTTACATGTTTGATTGCTCTCGAGTAGAACATATTCCGACATGTTTGATTACTCTCGAGTAGAATTGATTCTGCTTTTCAGAATTGATTCATTTGAAACTATGATTTGTAGCTTTTGAGTCTAAACGTGATTTGCACTGAAATATTTTGTTCAATTCATTTTTGCATGAATTTATCCAAACATAAATTATTTTACCTTCAATTCACTTTTAGCTAGAATTAGTTTTGCATAATCAATTTACTCAAAATTAATTTTCTTCACTATAGAACTAAACGCACCATAGTTTAGCGAAATTCGAACAAAATGTTATTGTATTGATCTTTTCACAAATTTAGAGCTGAATGCAAAACTATATTGCAGAGTTTGGTTTATAAGATTCTGTTAGGAATATCTGCCTCTTAGAGTTTCTATTTTAGTCTCTAGTCGTGAAGTTCTGCGGCTATCGTTTTCATATGCTCTCTCAAATAGTCTCACAAGTGTTTATGCCACTAGGTAAACTCAAATAAGTCAATCTATACGGATCGTTGGTCTTTCTAACTCTCACTAGTCCCTACGATCTTTCATAACCAGTTAACATATGTAGCACCAACACTTTGAAAAAAGGCGTGTCCGTGTCGGTATCGGACACCTGCAATAGCACTTGTGATTAAGTTTAATTTATTCATTTTTTCAAATTATTACCGGTGTCGTTGTGTCAGTGTCAGGGTCATATTCGGAGTGTCCGTGCTTCATAGCAGTTAACCCTTACTGTTATTATAGCATTGATGTAGTGATTTTGATAATCTTCGTTTTTTATTGTTGTAGATTGCTGAAAGAAAGAAGCTAGTTTCTTCTATAGATAGTGACAACATTCCTGGATTGGAAGGAAACGGTATTTCTTATGAAAGTGGTGAAAAATCTCTGTCAAGCGACTCAAATCCACGGAAAGGTTCTTCCAGCAGCGGCAGTGCTGTTGAAAACCAAAACGGTGGCACTGTTTTCAGCAACTATGTCCGATCTAAAGAAATGGAGACATGGGCTGTTTCGTCTGTTGGCATTAGTCAAGATTTTGATGAAATTAAAAAGAAAAACGACGCTGAAATGGCGTCGTCTAAGCTACACTTCGATGAACAAATTAAAACCAAGTTGTACGAGAGACCTGATACGAAAGACATTTCAAGTAGCATCCGAACTTCTAGCCTAAAGTTTGAAAATTTCGAAGGTGCGAGTGAATCAAGTTCAAAGGAGGTTGCCAATGAAGCTGAGAATTTCGAGAGCGGTGGTGAAAAGCCACCACCGTTGGCTGGGACCAATGTTATGAACATTATATTGGTTGCTGCAGAATGCGCTCCTTGGTCGAAAACAGGTAATTTAACATTATTTCATGGAAGATTTTTCCTTGATGAATGCATGTTACTGAGCTTCCCTGTAACAAACCAAGATACGCACCGGTAAGAGAGAACACGCTCATATATTCGCAGACAAAGTCTTCGATTTTTTCTGTCCTTTCATGTATGCTGCATTTTTTTTTTCTATATGATTTACGGTTTTAATATAACGAATAGGCGGGCTTGGAGATGTTGCTGGATCACTACCGAAGGCTTTGGCTCGGCGTGGACATAGAGTTATGGTATAACGCTAATCCCTTCACGTCTCATTACAAGATAAGATACTTCGATAAATTTTCACTCTCCTTTCATTATGAACGTTTCCGTTTTATTATTTCTTTTCTTTATTTTCATTATCTTCTTATAGATTGTTGCACCTCGTTATGGTAATTATGCTGAAGCACACGATATAGGAGTACGGAAGAGATACAAAGTAGCTGGTCAGGTGTGCCGCGTCTACTCTATTTCTTAATTTATTATTTCTCAAAACAATTATTTTCTACCACTTTGGTGTAGTAACGCTTCGACATTTTCGCTTTACAGGACATGGAAGTGACATATTTCCATACTTATATTGATGGTGTCGACCATGTTTTTATTGAAAGTCCAATATTTCGCAATCTAGAGAGTAACATATATGGCGGAAACCGATTGGTAATTTTCGATCGGAATCGACTTTAAATTAGTATCAGTTACCCTTACTATTTCATAGTCTTTTGATTCTTGTTGTCCTTTAATGGAACAGGATATTCTAAGGCGCATGGTGTTGTTTTGCAAGGCAGCGGTCGAGGTACACGAACTAAATTGTTTTATGATTATAACTTGTTTGAATCCATTTATTTGAGTTTATCTACTAGCGCAAGCATATTGATTATTTATTCGTTAGGTTCCTTGGCATGTTCCGTGTGGTGGAATTTGCTATGGAGATGGAAATCTGGTCTTCATAGCAAATGATTGGCATACTGCATTGCTGCCGGTGTATCTGAAAGCATATTATCGCGATCATGGTTTGATGAACTATACACGATCCGTTCTCGTGATTCATAACATAGCTCACCAGGTTCGTTATGAATCTATGTATATGTTGCCTTTGTCGTTATGCACATACACACACTTACACAGATGTTTACTCGTGTAGGGTCGGGGCCCGGTCGATGATTTCAACACCGTGGATTTATCTGGAAACTACTTGGACCTTTTTAAAATGTACGACCCTGTTGGAGGTGAGCACTTCAACATCTTTGCAGCCGGGTTGAAAACTGCTGACAGGATTGTCACCGTCAGTCACGGTTATGCGTGGGAGCTTAAAACTTCTGAAGGTGGTTGGGGTTTGCATAACATCATAAATGAAAATGACTGGAAATTTCGGGGAATTGTGAACGGTGTCGACACAAAAGATTGGAACCCTCAATTCGACGCTTACTTGACATCAGACGGCTACACTAACTACAACCTGAAAACCCTACATACTGGCAAGCGTCAATGTAAGGCAGCTTTGCAGAGGGAGCTGGGTTTGCCTGTCCGTGAGGATGTTCCGATAATTTCCTTCATCGGAAGGCTTGATCACCAGAAAGGTGTTGATCTTATAGCCGAATCAATTCCTTGGATGATGAGCCACGATGTTCAACTAGTCATGTTGGGAACAGGAAGAGCTGATTTAGAAAAAATGCTAAAGGAATTCGAAGCCCAACACCGCGACAAAATTCGAAGCTGGGTTGGTTTTTCAGTTAAGATGGCTCATAGGATAACGGCAGGTTCAGATATATTACTCATGCCATCAAGATTCGAGCCGTGTGGACTGAATCAACTTTATGCGATGAATTATGGAACAGTTCCTGTTGTACACGGGGTAGGCGGACTCAGAGACACAGTGCAGCCTTTTAACCCGTTCGATGAGTCGGGTGTCGGTTGGACGTTTGATCGCGCCGAAGCTAACAAGTTAATGGCGGCATTATGGAATTGCTTATTGACTTATAAGGATTATAAGAAGAGTTGGGAAGGGATTCAAGAAAGAGGGATGTCCCAGGATCTTAGTTGGGACAATGCTGCTCAACAATATGAAGAGGTTCTTGTTGCTGCCAAATACCAATGGTGATTTCTTGACATGTACTCCATCTTTGTAGTTTGATCAAAATGAAGGGATTTCATGCTGAATTTGTTTCACGAGAGCATACACAGTGTTGCAGCAATGAAGACTGTTCGATCTGGAACGAGAAATTTTCTCATACTAGATCGAACAGTTTACGCTGCCGCACCGTGTAGTTGGAGGAACATTTGCTATGTGAACTAAGGAATGTGTAATTCAATTGGTACATAATGTTTTTGGCACATAGAATGTAAAATAAAGTGTATTGACTGAAAATAAAAGGAGAATCTCTCTCTTTCTATGTCTCTAAGATATTGTTTGGTTTCGTGAAAGTTGCATGGATATAAATGATTGAATGGAAATTCAAAATAGTAGCAGGGAAATTGAATGGAAATTCAAAATAGTAGCAGGGAAAATGAATATTGGAACCCCACTTGATATTACACTACTGTGTCATATTTATATTTTCATAATCATAGTAACAGGGAAAATGAATAAAGTGAAAGATATAAGGGATTGTTAGCTACTTATAATATAGAATAGTTGAAGTATATTCTTAGCTTTGATTAAATATATCAATATTCTACCAATCTCCACCCTTAAAGCATTATTTCAGAGTTCAAATCTTCTAAGTAAAATAAATAGGTATCAAAAGAGTTTGGCATGTTATATGGATCCATTGGATTTGACTTTATTTTCAAGTTAAATTCAATTTTTTTTGTGTTACTTTTCTCACTTTAAGGTGCTAGTTCACCACGCTGAAAAGTCACAAAAATATTTAGATTTTAGAAATGCATTTTCGAACATAGTGGTGGATTTTAACAAAAAAATTATTGGGGTGCTAAAAAATAAATTATATATTGAGAGAATTGTTTTTAAGAAATTAACATGAATTGCTAGATGATAGAGTGGTTAGTAACAACGTTTTTTTAGAAAATAAATACAAAATTGGTGAAATTAAGAGTTGAACTCACGACCTTATACAAAAATAAGACTAAATTTACCACTTGGCATCATGGAGTTGAGGGGTGTCATGGCTTCCTTCAACTCCTAATAAATCCGCCCCTGTCCAGACGCACCTAAATTACACACCCATATGTTTTTTTGAGTGAGCCACTCTGTATTGTCTAAAATTATTTTCGAAGATACATCTCTGTAATAACTCTTATTTTAAAACTCGATGTTTTTGTGCTCAGTGAGATTTACAGAGACGGAGTTTTGTTGATATACCTCACACCATAACTTTTCTCTTTCCTTCTTCATTTGTTTCATTTTTACAAACCTTTTTCAAAGAGCCTGAACAAATATTAAGTGTGTCATTTTTCAAGCTTCACCATTACTCCAACTTCATTGCAATCAATCCAAGTTAATTCCATTCACTCCATTCAAGCTTTTGCACAAGAAATTTGTCAATAAGTAAGTTTATCATTTTCTTTTTAATTTTGATTTGTGATGCATGTATTAGATAAAATAGGTTGTTTAACATGCATTACTTTTTAATTATATTTAAAATATGTAATTTATTTATACATGCATATGCATTTATTGATGTTAGGGAATTGTTTGCAAATTTCTGCTATCACACATTTTTACGGAGATACATCTCTAGATTTATCTGGAAATTCTCATCTTTCAAGTTTTACAGAGATGCATCTCCAGATTTTTTGAGAATTTGTTTTTTGTTTTTACGGAGATTCATATCCAAAATTTACTTGCCTGGATTTTCATATTGTTTTCTGTTTTGTATTATAGGAACAATGGCTGGTAACCGCGAAAGCTTGAGACACGATCGTGTACTCCAACATGTGTCAGTTCGTAGAGAGAGGGCAACGCTCTCGAGGCCACGAGTTAGTGCCAGTTTGTTTGACGTGGAAGCATCAACTTCACATGGTCGTGTGTCTCAGGCTTCACAAGGTCAGGAAGATTTTGAACCTGAAACAAAATATAGACACATGATTTCAAGATTGTGTTTTTTTACTCTGGGCTTACGAGTTTATGCTCCACTATATACATGACCGTTAATCATTGCATGTTGGCAGATTTTGTGGAGAGATGGCACAAGGAGACATCATCTTTCCACATCCCTCATGGTGAGATGTTCATCACCCTTGATGATGTCTCACGCCTTCTGCGTCTTCCAATTAGAGGAAGATTACTAAATCATTCTCGAATCAACAAATCTGAGGCACTTGAATTGATGGTAAACTTATTTGGATCCAACCAAGATGAGGCCTAATAGGAGCTTGATGCCACAAGAGGCGCTCATGCCTGATTTTATACTTGGCTGACCTGTACAAAACCAACTTGATTTTATTTCCAACCTTTACTGTTACTAATATTTTCACAATGCTTGTGTTACACTTGTTACTAATATTTTATCTGAACCATTTTCAAGCATCGTCTCTTACTTTCCTTGCATATATGGGTGGGAACATGAGATGGAGTACAATGAGGATTAGCCCCATGCTTGCACATTTTTCTCATACAAAAAGAATCAAGCGGTAGATCCGTATATGGTATTTATTTACCGCACTGTAGTAGATGACATATGCATTTGTTCGTACGAAGGCCACCATCAGACGTGTCCCTTGGACGACATAACCTTATACTCTGGATGATTGGCTTATGGGTCGTGCCTGATGTATCCACATCTCCTTGAGCGGGTCATGCGCCAGTTCAGGTATCAACATATGATTCCTAGGCATCCCTCTGTGCCTGCTCCTCCAACAGTCCGCCGTAAAGATCATGATGCCATACTAGATGATTTCTATAGTCATCTGGTACCAGATAAGACATGCAATGTCTAGCGGGTGACGCATGGGCTTATGCATCAGGCTACATCCAATTATTCTATCAAATGTCACATCTTTACTGTGAGATATTGGATCGAACTCTAGTATGGTCGAAGTCGGTTCGCAAGTAATGTGTGTTGTAGTCGAAGTTTGTTCTAACATGCATTAGTCAATATTTCTAGGTTTGTTAGCATATTGAATTGGGCCTTGCTTGTAAGCCCAATTTTTTAAGTTAGCTTGTACCCTAAGTTAGCTTGTAATGGATAATTGTTAACAACCCCATTAGGTTAGTTTGCTAATTTTCTTATAAATAGCATGCTAGTCTCTCATCTTGGAATAAGGAAACATAGAAAGATAAAATCCTAATTCAAGAGAGAGAGGTTATTTATTATTCTTGTATACTTGTAATCTTTTTTGATAGATAAAGGAAAGAATATAAGTTTATAATCAATCTTTGTTGTTTCTTCTTGTTATTCTTGCTTGTTTTCTTTGTTAACCCTAACCCTTGTGTGTTTCTTGAATATAAATAAACCGTTTATATTTTGTTTCAAGGCATTCTATTCACAACAAATTGGTGTGGTGAGCATGGAGAAGATGCCTTCAACAAATTATGAGATTGAAAAGTTCAGCAGAGTGAACGACTTTGGTCTGTGGCGCTTGAAGATGAAAGCCCTACTGGTTCAGCAGGGTTGTTTGGAAGCATTGAAGGGAGAGGCAGCCATAGATGATGCGTTAATAGCAAAAGAAAAGACGGCCATGATTAAGAAAACCCACAACGCAATATTGTTGAGCCTTGGTGATAAGGTTCTTCGACAGGTATCAAAGGAGACTACAACATTGAGATTATGGGTGAAACTTGAAAGTTTGTACATGACCAAATCTCTGGTGAATCGACTCTACCTGAAGCAAGCTTTGTATTCATTCAAGATGATTGAAGATAAAGTGTTGGTTGTGTAGTTGGATATGTTCAACAAACTGATTCTTGATCTTGAAAATATTGATGTGAAGATTAACGATGAAGATCAAGCACTGTTGTTGTTATGTGCTTTGCCTAGAACACATGCTCACTTCAAAGAAACTCTCTTGTATGGAAGGGAGTCCCTGAGCTTTGAAGAAGTTTAATCAGCCTTGTATTCTAAGGACTTGAACAAACTAAAGGAGCATATACCTTCGACGATGGGCGAAGGTTTGGCCGTTAAAGGAAAATTCTTGCAAAAGGATGGTAAGTTCGACAAGAAGAAAGGTAAAAGTCAACAGAAGTATTATAGTGGCGAAACATCTGGTATCCAATGTTATCACTATAAGAAGGAGGGTCACACAAGAAAGGTATGTCCTGAACGCCTGAAAGATCATGAAGGTAAGGATAATGGCAACACAACCATTGCTCAAGATGATTTCGACTCATCTGATGTTCTTGTGGTTTCAAGTGGCGACTTAAGAAAAGAGTGGATTATGGATTCAGGTTGCACTTGGCACATGACTCCAAACAGAGAATTGTTCGATGAGCTATGTGATCAAGATAATTGATCGGTGCTGCTGGGAAATAACAAATATTGCAAAATTGCAGGTATTGGATCTGTGAGATTCAAGCTCCATGATGAGTCAACAAGGTTATTGACTGAAGTCAGGTATGTACCTGATTTGAAGAGAAATTTGATTTCTCTTGGTGAATTCGACAGGAAGAGATATGTTTTTCAAGGATAGAAAAGTATCCTAAGAGTCATGAAGGGGTCAAAGGAAGTTTTGACAAGCGTGAAGAAACAAGACTTGTATACCCTTGAGGCTGAGGTTATAAGTGGTTTAACAAATGTTGCATCCACGAAACTTGTGTCGAAGACAGAATTATGGCACATGAGATTGAGCCATGTCAAATAAAGAGGCCTAGTCGAATTGGGGAAGCAGAATCTGCTAGGAGGTGGCAAAGTCGAAAAGTTGGAGTTTTGTGAATCTTGTGTATTTGGTAAATTCTGTAGGGCGAAGTTTAACAAAGGCAAGCAAAGAACACATGAATCCTTAGATTACATTCATACTGTGTTGAGTCTGGGATTGCGAGGCATAAGACTGTAACAGGTACTACTCAACAAAATGGCTTAGCTAAGAGATTCAATCGAACAATCCTTGAAAGGGTTAGATGCATGTTGGTTAGTGATGAATTGAAAAAGGTGTTTTGGATGGAGGCTATTTTGATAGCAGCTTATTTGATAAATAGATGTCCCT